TGCCTACATGCAAGTCTGTGTGATTCTCACACCAATAACTCACACAAAACTTAAAAACATTCCTTATATTTACATTTTACATGTTTGGAATCACCAAAAATATACTCAATATTTGAATTTCTCGTTGCCCTACATCGTTATACTTTTACTAACGTCGCTGTAGCCTCGTTGTGACGTCACGTTAGCGCACGTTTTCTACGCGTGAGTATACACGAAAATGGTTTTCAAATCAATTTCACAGTTGGCTTACTAGAAAAACACAGCAGATGTAAATATATAAAGTTGCAGCACTCTATAGGCAAGTTTTGGTATCTCCACATGAGTAAAAACTTCTCGAGAGAGACGTTAAACATAAAAAAACGCAAACAAACAAAGCCAATTTGTTTAAATTAGGACTTCTTTCTCAGAAGAAAAATCAACTGGTCAAATTTGAATAATGAAGGCACCTTTAAAATAAAAACAGCTCGTAGAGATTAAACAAAAACAAGACGTTTTCATATCTTTTATTCAGAAATGAATGAAAAAACTTCAAATTGATGGGAAGAAAAGGAAATTAACCATGGTGCTGATTCAGATGATGTAGAATCTGAAAAATGTAAAGCATCGAAGTCATAAACGTTATCATTAATGTTTCGTGAAAATCACTTTTTCCTGCATGGTTTAGAGGTATAATGCTGAAATTGATCTATTAAATGAATACCTGGGTGTAATAATGGTCAAATTCATGCCTTGTTACCTGCCCATCACCTGTAAATAAAGTTGCATAGACAGCTAGTTTGGCAAAATATTGAAGGGACAGTCACATGACAGTCTCTTTGACTGCAGTATAAACATATCTTAGAGCCTTTGCCCAACTTTTCTGTGGGAGATAGGGGTAGGTCGTTTTATGACGTTTCAGAAAAGGTCGATAGGAATAATAAGGAATACGATACTAGTATAATAGAAAATATTCAACAGAAATACATGTATGTATAATTAATCTGTATATTACCGTTATTGTTGGCGTCGTGGAAAGCCTTGTCCACAAACTCGGCTTTGGTGAGGAGTCCATTCTTGTCCGTGTCATAGAGATTAAAGAGGGCATCCTTAAACAGAAAATCTAATCCAACATGAGCCGCAAACTCAGCCTTAGTTAAGTGTCCGTCACCTATACGTTAATGGAATAAACTTAATTAACTTAAATTTAGTTTACTTACCCCGGTAAATTATCATTTTTTCAAAAAAAATAATCCAAGCATGTGTTTTAATTTTATGAAATGAACCAAAAAATTAGAATTTTTAACAAATGTTCATCGGCTATGAAATAATGTATTATTTACGAAATATATTGTAGTATAGATTACTTTGATGAGATTCAATTAATCTAAACAAGAGGCCCACGTGCATTATAGGTCACCTGAGTATCAGGTAACAACTTCCCAATAATTAAATTTGGTCCGTGTTTTTTGAAAACCAAAAGCCATGAAAATCACAATCTTGAAAGAGGCACCATTGTTTATCATAATTATACTCTAAGCAAGCTTACTTTGGTTACTTAATACCCAGAGGTAGATCAGAGTAACCAAGAGAAAATGTATTTCCACTTTATAACCACCGATTGTGCACCCACCCCACAGGAACCACTGACCATGGGGCCACATATTTCAAAATTTTGAAAATTTTATCATAAATTTTATTTCATCATAAATGGTTGATTAATACCAAAGAGTTTCCTCAGGTGACCTAAAAATTAATGATAAAATTAATGGAACGCCAATAAACATATAAATTCATATTGGTGAATATATCTTTTATCATTTGAAGATATATCGTTAATTCTGATGATGATAGCAATGCTAGCAATAATTCATTTGATGAACGCATAGAATCAATTTAATTAACTTCATATTACTTTTCATCCATGTATTCATGCACATGTGAACAGTGCTAAGCTTTATAACTGAATTATTGCTCACATCTAATGAATAAAACCTTTTTCACAATAAATCAATAGACTTTCATTTACACGTATTTCAATTATTTAAATTACTAAGTATTTGAAATACATGGATATTAAAGTAGTACTCTACAAAAACAAAATCAATAAATAAATTTCGATATTCTACTATAAGATACTTTTAATTTATGCCATATGAAGAAAAAAACCATTGGATTTACTCCTCTGAATTTACATAAACAAAATTTAAAAAATCTTACATAATTAGAAGTTACTATAGTAGACGGAAACACGACAAATATCTCACCGTCTGTGTCCCTCTGGTCAAAGAGCTTAGCGAGTTCGTCATATTCCAGAAGCCCGTCTTTAGGATTTACGTCCAGTGTCACAAAACCGCTGTCGACTAACTGTTGGAGCTCATGTGTGTTCAGATTGTGATGTTGTCTATGAAGTGGAACTATTTTATATATGGGGGATAACTCGTACATACATTTAATGATTACTATCCATTGAGGTACTCCCGCTTCTCCCCGAAAAAAGCCTATTCGCAAAAGTGTACTTTCTTCACATAAATCATAACTAAACTATTGGTGTAGAAATATACAACTAATTACGTATAACTTCAATAAATGACAGGTACACTGTTCTTCTTTGTTTTGTGCATAAAACCCTATTTATTATTTCTTTTTGGGGGATAATATTCGGGAGAAGAAAAAAAGCTTAACGATGTAGTATACATTTATAAAATCTTGATGAAATTGACACTTCTTATTGCCTTTTGTCTAAGATCAAAATGTAATACCGGTATTGACTCTCTGACATCATAAACCGCGAATAAACATGCATTTATATTAAAATAAAGCTCATCATAATTAAATTCTATCGATACCATAGGATATATATTTATAAAAATGAAAATGTCGATAAAAAGTTGGGAAATCAAATATGTTAGGACTTTTTAAATGTGATTTTAACTATTTATATATTTTTCTTTTTTTATTTTGATTTCTTTGAAGATTTTAAATGAGGTTTTGAGTTTTTAAAATACTTACCCGATAACGACTGCAAGCAGGCACGAAATGACGACCAGGAGCATGGTGTTCTGCAGTACGTACATAAAAATCAGATTAAAAATCAAAGTCCAACAAAATTCCCCAAGCAAACTGTTCAAAATATATTAATAGTAGGAATGTCAACGAGTACCCGGTTAACCGGGTACTCGATCGAACGTCCGAGTATCGAATACTAAAATCGGTACTCGGTTACTCGGATGTATATTTTTAAATATTTCTAAGCTTATTTATTAATGCATTAAAACATCGGTTTCAAAACGTAAAATGTTCATTGCACTTGTACATACATGTACAGTAATTAGGGTTTCCTATGCCTCTAAATGACCGTTTTCGCCTGTGGCAGTGTTTATACAGTAATTATCGTGACCAAACACCTGATGTACCTACCCGGGCTTTTCTCACCTTCGACTGTAGTCTTCCCTTACATTTAGTTTGCTTTAATTATTTGTTTTCATTGAACATCGTTTAAGGTCCATTATATTTAAACAAATTAAATAATTTTGTCAATTCTCCAAAAAGCCGTAAATTCTCGGGAAAAAGACAGACGATATTGCACGTGCGATTGTTGATTTGGATGCATTTGATTACATGCCAATTAATAATGCAAATGGTTGAAGGCAAATGCTTTAAAAATCATGTCCATCGTTGCTCCAAACTACAACATACCGTATCGTAATTCTATGAAATCTAAGATCAAAAATGTACGAAGATCGTATAAATCCGCTCTATTATAGGATACCTTGATCAAGTTTATACCGTACATATAGCTCAGACAACTTATCACTTGGACATCAAACGCACCAAAGAGTTACATTACAATTACGGAACAGATTATTTTTTAAACAAAAACACTGTGAACCATTTCTGATTTTATTTCTCGTATTTATCTGATAAATAAATTGAACTTAAAAAAATGTTAGATTAAATTTCGTCGGTTACAAAGTGGTCATAATTGTTACAACGCATTTGCAGGTAACCTCCCATCGGTTGTATTTCTACAAGAGTTTACAATGTTTTACAGTTATCAATTAACTTGTTCATATTTATTTACACTTTTACCGAGTACCCGGGTACTCGATCGGAAAAACGTCCGAGTAACCGAGTATCAAAAATTGACCGATTTGACATCCCTAATTAATAGTGATACAAATTTTAAAATTACAAATATGCAAAAAGTTATAAGGATTACAATTACTCTGTTTCACCGTTTGTCTGATATACATGCAGTTGTCGCGCGAATCTTAGTTTTATACATGTATATCGGCAGTGAGGTCAGTGATATAGATTTTACACAAAGATAAGATTTCTATTTTAGAAACTTCCTTTTATGGCAATAGGCGTGCAGTAGTTTGTATTGTTTCCTTATTTTTTTCTACAATGTATGAAAATTTAGAAGTATTTGTATATTTTCCATAATAGCTAGAAAACAACTTCGGAAAAAAAGAGAACTTTCTTTTTCGGAGAAAAAAAAGAGAACTTTCAGATTAGAAGCCGGAAAAAATATTAAATCCTAAAGGTATATCACTAAATGAATATTAAGGAGATCGGTTGGATAAATTTGAAATATTATACAAGGATAAAACTGCATACAACATATATGTTGACCTTATGAAACGAATAAAACAATGACCCTGAACAAAATGTAGGAGGGTTGTTCGAAAAGTTTGCGGATATTGATTTGCTTGAAAATGCAAATATTTTGTATAAAACAAATCAAAATTGCTTTTTTTTTTAAAATCGAAGCTGCGAAAAATGCGTTGCAGAACAGAATAGCACATATATACAAGTACATTTACGTATATTTGGGGATATAAAACAAAATATCTATAATTAAATTACCAAAACTGTAGGCAAGTGAGAACTTAATAAATTGGTAAACTATAAATGATCGACATGTGACCATGTTTAATATACATATATATATTATCTAGTAGAATTTCATGGAGGAAATACTGATACTGTAAGCACGAATATGTCACTGGCCTTGTATTGGATAGACACTTTAACCTTGTACTGTATCTCTATATAAGCGACGGCGAGAAAAAATTATACAGATCATTCAATTTCGGACAGAAGGTGAGGTGTTTTTTTTCCGACCTAACTTGTCTATGTGAGTTTGATTTCATTAAACTAATCAGAGATAGATAATCGATGTAATGTAAATGTGTACATTAGTTTTTGACGATTTTCCCTAGCATTTGTAAAAAGAGGATGCAGGTAGAGTTAAGTTAAACTAGGAATAACCATTTCTTCGGAAAAGTTGCATATCTGTTCTCAAACGAATGCTGGATGGATAGGCTCATTTTGTAGTGTCAAGATACTAACTTGTTAACTCGTTATTGCGAGATACTAGCTCGTTATAAGGATTTAAGATGAATTTTTCAAAAATTCGTCGTTATACAGCTCAACGCACTTTTTAAACTCACATGGTTTTTCGTACAAATTAAAGTAACATTTTTCTTGCAATAAAAATTATCGAGTTTCAGAACGAGACATAACCCTTATATTATTAAATATTTCATGTTAAAGGTGCATATTCTCTAAAATCATTATCTTAAGTTTTTAAATTCAATTTTCTAAAAGAGAATTTGTTTATAAATTGTATGATGTTAAATGTGTGTAATTCTATCAAAGGTATTTACAAATCAATTAATCGAACTTTCTTTGATACAATTTGGTTAAAATGTTCAAATTGACTTCTTAAAGGTGAGTATTTTTCTAGGTACTTTGAACATTTTCCATACTTGTCTTGATTTTGTCGGAATGCTGCGCCAAAAAATGACAAATCTGCATAAAGAAATCATGCAAAATGATAGGTTAATAAAGTATTGTTTATCTTTCAACATAGTAAATTGTAAATATTGATAAGAAAATTCTTTTACATTTATTGTCTGAAACTTAAAAATTTTGCGTTGAAAGGAATCTTTCATGATGCTAGATTTCAGGAAGTTAACATAAAAAATGCCATCTTTTTAACATTGAAAGCAGTTGAACAGATGAGAAATACTTCTATCATCTCGCGCCTTAGTGTCATTTCAATGTATAGAAAATACAGAACTTACATGAACTGCACTGTTTCTGTATTGTGACACGATAGCGGTGTTTTTCTTTGAAGTTTACTGTTCTGTATTAGCAATACAGAACGGGACTGTGGTGGGCGGAGCTACTTTTCGTTCTGCATTAGCCTTGTTTACAGTATTGCATTTGCCAACTATTCTGTATCTAAAATACAGCACGGTCTAAAAATAAATCTGATTCAATTTAGCAAAGCTAGCACGTACACATAATAAATACTGATGTTTTCCTATTATTAATTTTTAAGAAATACGCGGTATTTTCCTGAGAATGCAGAATGTCAAAATTTCTAAATCACTTTTAAAAAACTTATTCCACACAGAATCTACACGTAATTTCGATCGAAAGTAAAAAGAAAAATCGCAATAACGGAAAACATCCTCTGTACCTAATTTTGAACAATCCACACGAAACGGAAAATTCGCTACCACGGAAAAAATCCTTCTCGCTGACGACAGCCACACGTCTCTTTCACTTCGTTTTTAATGTCGCAATTCAATTTGAAAATAAAAATCCGTGACATCAAAGTCCATCGAAGAATTTTCTGTAAATCCTGTTTTTGTAAATCTAGTTAAACCGGGATTTTAAGATCCCTGAAATAAATTATGATAAATCTCCATCTACAATCATAACAATATATCCCAACAATTACGGTTAAATCCTCCAATTTATCCATTAAGACTGACTATCACTCGATTACGTCTACCCCGTTAAATTGTCAAAACAAATCTGACCGAATTTTACGTTTTCCGTGGAAATATATATATACTGCGGATGCGTACTCCCCGTCGGGGCCTCATCTACAGAACTTTGGCGGAAGTTTGGACGCTGCAAAGTTATAAAGTGGGCGGAGCTATTTTTGATTGATCGTGTCACAAATCATTTAGAGAACTCGACAGGTTCTGTATCGTTGATACAAATTTGGGGGTTTCAGTGCTTTCGCACTCGTCTGCCCCCAAATTTGTATCTACGATACAGAACCTGTCGAGTTCTCTAAATAATACTTAATGCAAGGCAAAAGTATGCTTTAAAATGAACGGATACAAAGACGGTTGCATTTGACAAGAAACCATGGAAAAACCATTTGAAAACTCTCATAATATATCATCCAGGAGCATATAAAAATCCTACCAATTATTATGTGTGAGTTATGTTTAAAGTAATGGAATATGATCAAAATTAAGTTATAAATCATTTTAAAAATACATTTTGTTGTCATGTTACACAATTTTGCATTATAAAAATGTGACCTTAATTTGTGCGAAAAACCATGTGAGTTTAAAAAGTGCGTTGAGCTGTAATGACTTAATTATCTCATTATGACGAGTTAGTTATCTCGTTATTACGAGAAAATTAACTCGTTATAACGACTTAGTATCTCGTTATAACGACTAACGATATTGCTCTAAAGCATTGATATATCTAAGTGATAGAAAGTATACAGAACTGAGTCGATTTAAGGAATAACTGTCTTATTTTTCGATTTCATGATGTGATCAATCGATTGGCTTGTGTGATAATTTGCATAAAATTATCACGCAAGCCAATCGATTGATCATCGTCATGAAATCGAATAAGACAGTTATTCCTTATATTTACATGCTCTTGATTTTTTTGTCCCGCCCTGCACGTGATTTTTCTTAACCGCGCCTATTGATGAACCAGTACATTCATGTAGAAATAAAGTACATTAACTTTTCGTAATTTTATCTCGGACAAAGACATTGGAAATGTAAATATCATTTGTTTAATTGTACATGTGGATGATAAAGATTTTAGGGAAAAACAGCAAACTAGTTTTTTGTCCTATGCACTTGATTTGTATTGTATGTATACCTATCTTATAAAACGGACATACATGTACCAGTAAAGATTAGTAAAGATAGTATATATTTCCTTTTCTATTTTTTTCTCTGTGATAACTCTTTGAAAGTTAGCGGAGTAAATTTCTTTATAATTCTGCCGGAATGTAAATTAGGCAGGTCGATAGGTCAGGAGCTAAAGAGGCCTAATATGCATGCAAATCTCGTGCGCATCTTCTGTGTCTGCGCTAAAGAGGCCAAATATGCATGAAAATCACGTGCGGCTGCCTTTGTGTTTGACGTCAGTGGGCGATGACTATTGAAACTGGCATGGGTGTCCTCGTGTAAATTAAATCTATGTCTACATTTTGAAAGTCTAAATCTACAATTTCATTTCACAATAAAATGTTCAAGTTCAAGTTCAGTTTATTCTCCCAAACCAAAATATTGGTACATGGGGTACAGTAAAACATATATACATTTTAAACAAACTGGTCAGAGGTACAAAAAATATAATATATACAATACAAAATGTTACAAAATGAAGAAAAAATGAAAAAAGAGGGAGAAACAGACAATAGTAACATATTAAGGAGGACAGGTAGCGTCATAAATTTTTAGAATAAACATACATAATTTTTTCAGAATTTGTTCGTTTTGAGTTGACATAAGTTCTGTAAATTTAATAATATTCGGTCTACTAGAATAATAATTACCTAGGTATTTTTTCCTTTCATTTTCCAAAGCTTTGCATTCTAGAATGTAATGAAATTCATCAGCAATTTGACCTTTACTACAAAGTGTACAAAGTCTTTCAGAAAGTGGTATACCACACCACCTTCCAGTTTCTACTGGTAAATGATGATTTGTGGTGCGAAATTTGGAAATATAAGGAATCACTGTCTAGTTAGTATAGTATACCAGGGACATCAAGGATAGTGGGAAACATGAGATAATTTGCATAACGGGCTTCGCCCGTTATGCAAATTATCCCATGTTTCCCACTATCGTTGATGCCCTGGCATAATATACTAACTAGACAGTGATTCCTTAAGTAATACATGTTGCTTTAATGCCTGTGATATCTCTATTATAATGTCTCTGAAATTTGATTGTAGGTTCGTAGACATTGATTATGAAAGTGTATGTCATCCAAAACAATGTAGGCCCTAGTGTCATTAATCAGAGATAGTTGTCTTTAAAAATTGCCAAACTTTGAGCAAGTACATTTGGCAATATTATTTTTTAAAAAAGAATATTGCGTCCTAGGAGATGTTCACGTATTAATATACAATTATGGACTGTTTAGAAGGGAGACATCACGAATTTTCAGGTCTGAGTAGGGTTGTCACACGAGGGCGCTTGCGTCTACTCAGACCTTATAATTGGTGATGTCTCCCGTCTAAACAGTCCATAATAATAATTCAAGACTTAAGATAATTCAAGATAACTAACTCGGGATAATTAACTTGTTTTATTATACCTCTACTGATTTTTTGCTATATGAGAGTAAGGCAGTAAAATGTAAATAATTTCCTAGAAATCTGAGTGAATGGACTCATTCCCGTGCGTTAGTTAAACGAGCTAATCCCTGCTTCGGGCGCTAATTCCCCGGTTACCCGTAATCCTCTAGATTTTACTTTTGTATCTGTCTAATATGTTAATAGACTAATTCCCCATGCGTTAGTTTTGAAGCTAATTCCCTGTCATTCGTAATCCTCTATTTGTATTGGTACATTTAAACAGTTAAAAAAGTATATCATTGAGGGAGTTAGCAAGATTCCAGTTCTCCTTGACCAGAACTATTTCCCTCGGCGCGCTGCGCCTCGGGAAATAGTCCTGGTCTTGGGGAACTGGAATCTTGCTAACCTCCTCAATGATATACTTTAACTGTATAATAACGAGATGACCAAGTCGTCATAACGAGATACTAACTCGTTATTACGAGATAACTACGGTAATTCGCTACTACGAGATAACTAATTCGTTATAACGAGATATATAACTAATTCGTTATAACGAGATAACTAACTCGTTATAATCTGATAATTATCTCGTTATTACGAGATAACTAGCTCGTTATAAAAAGAAAGTAACTCATTCTAACGAGAAAGCAACTCTTTATAACGAGATAGTAACCCGTTATAACGATATAATTATCTCGTTATAACGAGTATTTTTTTTTTATTTTGGCAAAAATTGAGCCTATATCCGCTTTCGTACTTTCCGGCTTTCAAAGTTCTTTAAAACTTTTTTAGAAATGTTGATGGGCATAAAAACTTTGACCTTATCATATATTTCATTATTTTTTCTTAGTTTACAATGAAGTCTCTGATTTTCCTGTTGGTTGTCTGCTTAGCTGTCGGTGCTTATGCCAATAGTTGCGAGGATACTTGTGACGCAACATACAATGGATGCACCCAAGGATGTCGTGACTCACATGCGCACGGCCATGCACTTGACACTTGCCTGAACAACTGTCAGTTGGCGAGAGACACTTGTCGTTCAACATGTCATGGTGGACATGGAAAATAAATGTATTAATAAAACACTGAAATAAAAATATGATCAAATTTTAGACCATTGATATTAACTTCGATAAATCATTTCAGCACGTAAATTTAATTTAATTTATAATAACATTTATGTTATTTAACCCAGTCATTCCATTGACTGAAAGGTGAATGAAAGAATGTGTGGAAATTCATTCCAGACCTTTTACTGGCTATTCACAGTTGACTGAATATAGCGGGTTATTTTGTAAAATTTTCTCTTTGCTGAATATTTTTTGGGGAAATAGGGATGCATGGGGCGAAGATTTGTTTTAGAAAAACTTCTCCCGGGGGGTATCGATGGATTTTTATCCTGTTTATGGCCTTGTGTAAATTTATTATCGGCCGCAGCAGCGGCCGATCTATTTGTGGTTGTGTTAGAATTAAAGTGCACATGGGGAAATGAAACGACATTTTTATGCCCCCCGCTTGAAAAGTGGGAGGGTATATAGTAATCGGTATTTCCGTCTGTCCGTCTGTTACGCTTTGGGGTATCCGCAACTCCTCTCATACCACTGAAGGAAATTTAATGAAACTTTCACAGATTCTTAATTACGAGGGCCGTTCAAAAATTACGCGGACTTGTTGCACAGAAAAAATATTTGATGACATAATCGGGTAAAATGTCATACATAATATAAAATAATCTTTAGTTATATGGCCTTAAAAATTTCATATAAAAATGTTGTAAATTGGTATCATTTTTAAGTGATTTTTCGGGATATATCAGTAAGTCACGGAGCAGCAAAATCTTCGACGTCACAGGCACAATAAAAAAATATGTGATTGATCTCTCATTTTCTCAACACTTTCCCAAGAGTACCTGTACAGTTTGAGTTACCTTATCTTCTCAACATCCAAATACCATTTCTTGTCAAGCTTAATATCCATTAAACAAATAAAGAATATTCATTTTTTGTTTTAAAACCAAAAACTGCAGGTATTTTTGAGATATAGTGTGATATTAGTGACTCTCAATCATGTTTTTTACAGTCCGGATAAAGGTTTCGTCGAAAATCTTCTTCCCGTCCTCCCGTATAGCCTTTTTACAGAGGTACAACGGTCTAAAATTTCAATTTGCTATTTGTGGACGAATGTCACGAATATCCTAGTTTACTACATGTTTTATTATGCATATTTTGGATCTATGTTGGCTATATCTCGAGCATTACACATAATTTAACAAAAGTGTGGTGCGCCGTCAATTCAGGAAACGTCATTTTCACAGTCGTTTTCACGGGGATAGCATCAGAGAAAAATCACTATATTTCTGTTAATACCTCAAATATCACGTCAGAAACCTAAATACATAATAATAGAACAATTTAAAGATACATTTGAGAAAATTGTCGAAAAATATCGTGAATTATAGAAAATAAATGAGTTAAATTTTGGATTGCGCATGCATTTGCTTTAAATTTTTTGTCGTGCTCCGTACCTCTCCATCAGCGATATCAATATCAGGGTTCGACACTAACACTAGCCCGCTGGCCGACAACCGAATATTGAGGTCGGGCTACCAAACATGTCTTTAAACGGTGTGTTCCCGTTTTGCACACATTTGATAATTAGGTATGAACAATAGGTGTGAATGTGTTTTGATAGCAATTATAGTCTGATTTTTGGTTTGGATTTACCTGTGGATACCTAATATAGCTTAATGTAATCTTGTGAGGTTTAATACAATTTTATAAGCATTTTATTAAAATTATATATATATATATATATATATATATATATATATATATATATATATATATATATATATATATATATATATATATATATATATATATATATATGGGAAAATATTTAATTTTATTGAATAAATTATTAATTATTTCATATTATTTATTAATTAAGTCCAATTTCTTAAAAAACGAATAGTTTTCAATCTTCATAAAATTCTAAATGAACTAAATATATAACAAATGATAAAGAAAATAGAGAATAAAAATTAATTTGAAAAATAAAGCCCAGTCTAAGAAGATGTTAAGATCATCAGATAATCATAAGATCAAAGTGAGGATCCATGATTGCTGATGATCCCAGCTGGTAAAATTTTAATTATTAAAAATTTGTGTCTTTCAATGTTAGTAAATTGTAAATAACTTTGTTATTTATTCTCTTATTTTTTCTCTATAAGTTCACCTTTCACCTACTTACTAAGTATTGTATAGACTATAGCAATTAAGTAATTATCTCACCTGGTCAAATTCCTGTTTTGCACACATTTTTTAATTACTTGTAATTAAAATGTGTGCAAAACGGGAACAAACCCTTTAAACTTGCCCTGCAGGGCTACAGTAAATTTGACCAATTACTCGCTAAGAGCAAGAAAAATAATTATGATTTACACACAATATACCTGATAATTGTTTTCAAATATGTTTATAATCATCATAATTATTATTTTTGTAAGTCAAAATGTAAACTTTAAAGGTGATTCGAAATACCCTAAATGATTATAAATATGGAATTTGTTGAATTGAAAAAATGTCTTAGGTACCATTATAGAGTGACATATAATTTTTACCCAAAATACAGCCAGAATGCAGATTTTCCATCTATATTTTCAAAATTTCCCGGGGGAGGCCCCCCGTACCCCCACCAGCAGGAGGGGGAAACCCCCTCCCGCACCTACCCCCCTCGTCGCTTCGCGATTCACCCACCAGCCTCCGGCTGCTGGACAACTAATACATGAACAGGGCTAGTAGAAATTAGAAATGACTAGCCCTGCTGACAACTATGGTTTCAAAGTTAGTATCGATCCCTGAATATACCGATAATTTTAGTAGAATTTTTTTAAAATACAAAAATTTTGCCCAAAATTTATTGGAATCTTTAAGATACATATTTCTGTGAAATCTCATAACTATATGACGTCTGTAAGAGTAAATAATAGCACAGTCCGCGTAATTTTTGAATGGCCCTCGTACATATAGCCATTGTGCACCTCCTATTTTACTTTTTGATCTGACTTATATTTTTGATTTTCCAGAGCAAAACATGGACACTGCCATTATATTTATATGAGAGGTGGCGGTATCATTTAGTGAGCTCATTGTTCACAGTACCTCTAGTTTTTATTTGTAGAGTAAAATAATTCTTAAATAATAACATGTATTATATCACGAGTAAAATATTTTAAAAACTTGCTTTAAATTAATTATTAAATGTTGTTATTGTGTTTCAATTTCATTACTTATTTCTAATTAGATAATTGATAATTTATGGTTATATAAAAAGAGTTTACATTAGGTACTCCCCACCCTTGGAGTATGTATGATTTGAAAGCAAATCATCACGATTTTCCGGATAAAAATGACGTGATAAAAGTGCGTAGTGAATTAAAATTGAAAAGTTGTTCAAGTAGTAAAAATTGTTCTGAATACATGTATGCTTCAGCTGCGAATGAAACATTGATAATTTTTTGTCCATATTGCACCATGCCCAGTGGCGGATCCAGAAATTTCGTAACGGGGGCGCAGTAGAAGGCAGAGGGGGTCTGGCGGCTGTATTGCAGCCCCCAGTGGGTCTAAAGCAATGTCCTTTTGGGGGGGGGGGGTCCGGGAAGCTAACAAGTTCTTACAAGTAAGAGATGTTTTTTCTTTGATTTTAGGATAATGGACATATAAAAAATACATACAAAAATTTCAAACCGGGGGGGGGGGGGGGGAGCGCCGGCCTGGATCCGCCTTTGATGCCTTGCAGCATAGCCTCCTCTGCAGAGACCATAGGCATTATCACGAGACAAAGAATCAGGGTATCAGCACGTGGTTCATTTTGATGACGATAAAGTCTTATCATTTATCATTGACTTTATTATTCGATGAATCCATTTGATGAAGCAATGCACTAAAATGCACAAAAATTTCTATCTATTTAATTTTTAAAATTAAATTAAAATTATTTATTTTCCTTGAAGACAGTCTGAAATAATATTAATAAAGAAGATCATCACTATTTCAGCTTTGAATAAGTTGTATTTCCCTTGCATGGATTCTTTTAAAATCGTGAAAGTACTTTTTGAAATGCTAAATTTTGTTTGCGGCCGATTAGCTGCAGATCTGTAGCGTTATGGTTTTATATATTTGTCTTTGACTATAACGCTACAGATCCCGTTATGCAAAAAAGGTGCAATTTACGGCGTAATATTTTTTGCGCACTTTTGGGGAGAATTTCTCCACTTTCTAGCATTGGTCAATCAAATACTTTTCATTCCCTAATTCTAGACACATTCTGTAGCGAATATGTATATTTTATCCACCTCCCAACCATTTATAGTTGTCTCAACAGGCAATAAACTCGCTTGAAGTGAATTTTCAGCAATCTAACGAATAATTTTAATCAATCGAGTTTATCATTTGTAGAGACGACTACAAAGGGTTGGAAGATGGATAAAATATACAGATTAGTGAAATAATGTGCCTAGAATTAGGGAGTGTAAAGCAGTTAATTGAACGATGCTAGAAAGTAGATAATTTCTCCCCAAAAGTGCTCAAAAAATATTGCGCCGGAAATTGCACCTTTTTTGCAATACGGGATCTGAAGCGTAACGGTCAAAGACAAATATATAAAACCATAACGCTACAGATCTGCAGCTAGCGGCCGATTTGATGCTTTGCATGTTTTATTTGTATTTTATATTGAGCATGCATTAAAAGTTTTGCTATTTTTTTTTATCTGAGTCACTCGTGCGACTTATAAATAATCGGTGTGTTGATAAAACGCGGAACAGAAAACGGAACGGAGAGCGGAACGGAACGGAAAACGGAAAATTTATGTCAAACAAATAACCTAGATACGATATAAATCAGATATAAAAAGCAATATTCTTGATATTAAAGTCATATCTAAAAACAACTAATTTATCGTAAACTATAATATTTTCATGAATCATTTACCCCTCAGAACTAGCAAGTGTACATGTGATGGTCTATAAAATAAATTCCAACTAGACTCAAATCCTGAGTACTAGTATCCATCTGAACCACAGGCCTTTGGATCGCTAAAAAAATTGTGT